GGCACTTGCAAGAGGTAACTGGATGGAGACATCATCGTGGAGTAGATCATGCCAGCTTGCAATGGCGTCGTCGGGTATACGATGAATTTGTCCAAGCTGAGCCGGTCGGACCACAGGTCGCGGACTTCATCCTCAGTTGCCTGTGACACGGCCACCGAGTCGTAGACAACATCGTCCGAGATAGCCACACATGCTGCCACCTTCGACAGCACTGACTCTTGCATGAGCTGCCGAACGGTGATCGGCAAGCCGATCTTCGCACAAGCAGACACCACTTGCACCGCTGACAACGAGTCGCCTCCGACAGAAAAGAACGACGTGTGGCGGCCAATCTTACTCTCGTCGACTCGCAAAACTTGTGCCCACACTGTCGCCATCAGCTTCTCCGACGCCGATTCCAGTGCCTCCACGGTCACATCCAGCTCCAACGCCTCCAACGCTTTCTTGTCCACCTTCCCATTGGAATTCTGCGGCATGACGTCCAAGCCAGTCCACACCGACGGTACCATGTACACAGGCAGTTGTGTCGACACAAATGCTTGCAACTCGTCCAGCGCGACGGAGCTCGGTGAGTAGTACCCGACGAGGGTCGAGTTCTTTACAATTGCCGCAGCAGTCACGACGGACGGGAACAACATCATGGCATTCGCGACCTCTTCCAGCTCAATTCGGTACCCTTTGAGCTTGACCTGGCTGTCCTTGCGACCCAGGATCTCGAATTTGCCGTTCGGCAGAAGGCGCGCAAAGTCTCCCGTGCGGAACATGCGTCCACCGCTGAACGGATCGACCAAGAAACGTTCCTCGGTTTGCTCGGGCAAGTTGATGTAGTACGGCGACACACAGACACCACCCAAGTACAGTTCTCCAATCACGCCCACCGGGACCACGCCTTGGTTTTCGTCCAGGATGTACGAAGTCACATTCGATATTGGGCTCCCGATTGTGACATCTTCTTGGGGAACCATTGGCTCAACGTGGCTGAGGATGCAACATTCGGTGGGACCGTACGCGTTGATCAATCGAACATGCTGACACCACAAGTTTTTCAATGCAGTTGGCAGGGCTTCACCCCCAACGAGCACGACCTTGAGGCGGGGAAAATGTCTTGGATCTCCCAACTTGGACAAACCTGTCGGGGTTATGGTCAGAGCGTTCACGTCTGAGAGGGTGTCGAAAGAGTCGTTGGTGCGGAAGACCAAGGTGGCGCCACTGGACAATGTCCCCCAGACTTCCCACTGGTACACGTCAAATCCCACGGCCATGAACTGGAGGACTCGTATTCCAGATGTCAATTCGGTGCAGCCAATGCTAAACAATATCGTGTTGACCGCACTCTTGTGAAAAACCGGTACGCCCTTGGGTTTGCCGGTAGATCCCGACGTGTACACGACATACGCCTCACTCCACTCGTTGGCGCGATGATCATCTGAAGGATGGAAGGCATGCGATTGTCGTCGCAGAGACGACGAGTCGATATACAGCGTGGGGATTGTCAAGTCCAATTCTTCGATGCGTGTTTGGTGGGTCTCTGTGGTCAAGACAGCAACGGCGTTCGCATCCGAGAGCATGTACGACAATCGACTTGGTGGAAACGTGGCATCGAGAGGAAGCACGGTGGCTCCGGCCTTCAGGACAGCGAGCATCCCAATGGGAAATTCCAAACAGCGTTCCATAATGATGGCCACTCGAGTGTCCTTGCGCACCCCCACGTTGGTTAGTTGGTAAGCCACTGTGTCTGCTTGTGCATTCAGCTCTCCGTATGTCAAATACCGGTCTTCAAATTCGATGGCACGAGCGTCCGGGCATTGAAGAGCTTGGTTTTCAAACGGATGGTGGAGCAGCAAGTTGGCCGGCCATGACACGGTTGGACCATACATGGCATTGCCCAAGATGGCTTGCTCTTTCACCGCAGCGATGTCCAAGCTGCTGATTGCTGAGTTCAGTTCGTCGGGTGTTGCGAGTGTCGTCACAACGTGCGCAACTCGGCTCATCAAGTGCTCCACGGTCGAGGCATCGGTTTCAGAGCACTTGTAAATCAGTGTTACGGCGTAGGAATCGTCTTCCCTGACTACAAGCATGCTCATGGTCACGTCAACGAATTCTTCTTCAGCGACAAGGTCAATGGAAAACGGAGCGGCGGGGTCGTGAACACGGGTCGACGCGGGATAGTTTTCGTACACCATAATCGTGTCAAAAAGGGCTTTATGCGCCATCACACCCGCCCACTTCTTGATATCGACCAACCCGCAGTGGGCATGGGGAATGGAGTCGGACGATTGCTCGTGCATACTTGCAACGGCACGGGCAAGTGTGGTAGATGGCGTAAGGTGCGTCATGACAGGGATCGAGTTAATGGAGACCCCGATCATTCTAGCATGTGCATGCAATCAGAGTCAACGGTGGTGTTACGAGAAAGCATCACGTACCGATCCACTCCTGCAACGTCGACATCGCGGCCTGAAACGACAGATCCAAACACGACGTGCTCGCATCGTGTGTACTGCTGGAGGATGATCGCCCATGCTGTGCGGAATACCGAGCTTGCCGTCACACCGTGCAATCGGCAGACATCATCCAAGCCTGGAAGTTGAAGTCTGCATGTAGTCGATCCGTACTTGGGGCGCGTGATATCTTGCACGTGTGGCTTGGGCAGTACCAAGCCAGACGTCTTGTCGAAATCGGCCAAGACAGTTGCCCAGAAAAGTCGGCTGCTTTCCTGGTCTTGTATCATGCTCCATTCAATGTATCGCTTGAACGGTGTGACAGGAGTGTAGTTGGATTCCCCATGGCAAACGGACAGTAAGCGGTCCATGGTCAAAGGCAGCGACCACCCATCCATCACTGCATGATGCTGCGTCCACAGAACGCGTGTTCGGCCATCTACGACACCGTCGAGACACATGATGTATGGAAGAAACAACTCTACGTACCAGTCACGCGAACTCCAGTGAATCGTTGAAACGATTTCGTCGCCAAAGTGAACCCACGTTCACGATCGCGTTTCATCAAGGCCTTGGTTTGCGACTCGATGTCGTCAGCTTGCCATGCCTCATCCAATTCGTTCCATTCACTGAAGTCGTCCTTCGTCACGGCTTGGTACATTCCGTGCGGTGTTGCGACAAAAACCGTTCGGAGCATTTGGATATCTTGCGCCAATAGAGCCCAACATTCCTGCAGCCGTGAAAAATTGAAGTCGCCACGAATGTCAAAGACTGATTGTAGCACGTATTCCGCTGGGTCCTGTATCATTGCCAACAACATGCCTGCTTGCAGCCCTGTGACAGGGTAAATGTCTTCGACGTCCAACGGTCGAAGCGACTGCGACTTGAGCATTTCCATTTCAATGTCTTCAAGGACAGCAGTGGATGGCAATAAACCAACATCAGACAAAGTGCGCCCGCCAATCGTGTTGGAATCCAAGCAATGGTCGATGATCTGTTGCATGAAGGACACCCACAGTTCGCACAACGCATCAAGCTCGGGGCGTGAAAAGAGCCAATCGGGGACCTCACTTTCCAAAACCAGCTCCGACCCGACGTGAATCAAATTCAACGAAGCAGGAGAGAATTCCAATTCATCGGCGGCTTTTTGGGGAATGTTCAGGCCTTGCACCAAATCAAACATGCTCGTGTCACTGCTCACTTCTTGGAATCGACCAAAGTAATTAAACGAAAGGTTGTGGCGACGATGAGACTTGATGCGCTCAACCGTGTCGGATTCAGGTACGAGATACTTGATAGCTCCATACGATAATCCATGATTGGGGAGGCCGCGAAGCTTTTGCTTGACTTGGCGAATCAAGTCGGCCAAAGTCGTTGTCGGGAAAAACACGACAGGATATTCGCAAGTGAACCACCCAACGGTACCTGATACGTCCAAGTCAGGGCTCCAAGTCTCACGGCCATGGCTCTCCAGCATAAGTTGCAGGGGACGCCGTTCACTCGTCCGGTCACTTTGAAGGGCACCAAATGCACCTGTTAGCGCCGCCAGCGCTAGTTCTTGAATGTTCGTGCCGTAGGTAACGTTGGCAAGGTCGAATTTTGACGTATAAGTCGCATCCAGTGCGGTCTTCTTCGTGAGAATGCAGCCACTATGACATCCACGGTGACAATCGAGAAATATATCAGGTCAAATATACCTCGCGTCAGTTGGTGGTACAGTGTCGTCGCCCATGTACTCCAACCATGCAGCGGGATCAAATGTAAGAGCTGCCTTGGACAGTCTCTCCGACCACTCCTTCATCGACGTTGTCTTAAATACGAGTTTCTTGTTGAGCAAGCACGTTTGCAAGTCGTCTGTCAAAATTCTCCACGACACCAAATCCGCAATCGTGTGGTGCATTGTAAAATGCACGTACTGGGCCTTGCTTTCCGCCGACTCAAACAAGGTCACGATAAAAACCGGTCCGTCCGTCAAGTTGAGTGTATTTTCAATTTTGCAGATCGCACCTTCCAACTCGGACAAGTTGGTCAGTTGGACGCGATTCACCTTGTCAAGCGTCGTCGCCGAGATGTCCAAAATCTGTTGCGACCATCCGTTGACGGGGCAAAATAGGAATCGAGTCCGCAGGACATCGTGGTGGTGGACCAATTGGTTGACAGCGCGTACAAGATCGTCAAGTTGAAGGTGACTGCGCGGTTGAATTGTGAAGGACATGTTCCAGTGATGCAAGTTCTTCCACGGGTGGGCAAAGTTCATGTGCTGGATGGGAGTCAACGGGACGTCTCCTGTGACAACAGCGTTTTCGGTTGCTCGAACTTGCAATGGCATGGTATTTGCCGCCATTTCGGACAACTTCGGATATTTCATGACCAACTGGCTTGAAACAGCCAGGCCGAACTGCTTAGCCTTGGCGACTAACCGAATTGCAGATATTGAGTCACCGCCAAGAGCATAGAACGACGTGTTGCGACCAATATCGGACAAAGCAACGCCCAACACATCCGCCCATACCCGCGACATGATCTCTTCAGTCTCGGACGCAAGCGATTCCACCTCCATCTCAATGTCCATCAATTCCAGGGCCTTCTTGTTTATTTTGCCGTTCACGTTTTGGGGCATGTCATTCAATCCAACCCACAACGACGGCACCATGTACACTGGCAGCTGGTCAGACACAATGCGGTGCAGCTCTGCCGTGTCCACGTCGGCCGGCGAAAAGTACCCCACCAAGTGCGTCTTGTCCTTGACCAATGCGGCAGCGGCAATCACGTTGGGGTGCTGCATGATAGCTTCGGCGACTTCGTCCAACTCGACGCGATACCCCTTGAGCTTCACTTGACTGTCCTTGCGGCCCAAAATTTCAAAGTTGCCGCTCGGCAACAAGCGAGCAAAGTCGCCAGTGCGAAACATTCGTTCCCCGGTAAACGGATCGTCCACAAAGCGTTCAGACGTTTGTTCGGGCAAATTGATGTAGCAAGGCGACACGCACACTCCACCCAAGTACAATTCACCGACGACGCCCACAGGCACCAAACGCTGATGTTCGTCCAGGACGTACGAGGTCACATTTGCGAGCGGTGCCCCAATCGTGACATCGTCACCAATCGACATCCGCTTCACGTGCGACAACATACAGCATTCCGTAGGTCCGTACGCGTTGACCAAACGGACACGGTCGGACCAAAGATCCTTCAACGACGTTGGCAGGGCTTCTCCACCCACTTGAACAAACGTGAGGTTTGGATATTCGCTCGGGTCTCCCATCAACGACAGGCCTGTGGGGATGGTGGCCAACACGTTGACATCCTTGAGGGTGTCCAAGGCTTCTTCGCTGCGCAATACCAACGTGGCGCCGCTGGACAACGTCGTCCAGATCTCCCACTGGCACACGTCAAATCCCACGGCCATGAACTGAA